AGGGATTGTGGTGCCCGTTGGAGACGGCCTGAATCGTAACACGTAGAACGACGGGTAGTGTGGACCTCCTCGAAGCACTGCCATGGGCCGGGAACGATTGCTATAAAATCAGCGGGGGCAAAGTCTGACAGCTGAGAAGACGGTGGTACATGGCGGCATTCTCACTCAGCAGACTTCAAGGCAAAGTAAAAAACTTCAGCGGACCGAGTACGCAAGCTGTTGCGAGGCTCTGGTGGCGGCTGCATTTGCTGGATTGCCCAGAAAAAGAAGATCAGACGTGACCAGTAGACTGCAGCAGCCCGGACCTGGCCGTGATAGGGCTGGACAATGTCGAAAACCTTGCGCATGCATTTAGTCGGTTCATAGTCGTACCTAGTTTCTCATCTCGCACAGCCTTAGGTGCCTGAATGTTTGAGACATGGTCTGGCAGTGTCACCGCAATGACAGGTGGGCCTTCTAGAAAGTGATCTCCGGCTGCTAGCCTCGATGACGAATATTATGCTTTAGCCGACATATAATACAGCAGGTGTACGACTATAGCTGGCTAGATAGGGGTACACAGATGGCTCTGGTAGGACGCTGCACAACCTGCCAGGAGCTAAAGCGAAACAAGTCTTGTCCACATAGTCGCGGAAGAGACTTGGCTGGAGGCAGCATGAGGATAGGCGTCCACTACTCGACGCGCTTTGGCCTCGTTGATGTGCCGCTCTGATCGGTGGCATCTCCATGGCCGCAGACTCGACGTTCACTCGAGACTTTGCATGGGTTGGGCAGACGGGATCCCGTCGCATGCCGCAAAGGCTACGGCAGAACCGGTGTGTGTCGTTGAGCACGACACATCGGCGAATTGATTCGTGCGGAAGCTTGGTAGGGCCATGTGCAGGCAAGGTTCTAACGGCAGACGCATCACCATCAGCGTAGCCCGCATGAAACAATATTACTCCAGATGCTACCCTCAGTTGGGCTAACAAGATTCTCGAATATGTAGGTAGCATGCACAGACAGACGGCATAGCATTTGCATGAGCCGAATACGAGATATTGCGGCCGCGAAGCGAAACGTAGCTGAGGAGACTTGTCGAGGGCTTCGATCCGGCGCATGGATCGTATTTTCGTCCGCCACTGGCGATTGCATGACATGAAGAACGACCGAAGATTGCATGGAGAGCTAAAGTTAGGGTCGAAAATCCCTTTCTTTAAGGGCTGTTGTAATCTGTCAACCATGTTGCCGGGTCGCGTTCTCTCTCGCGCGGCAGGCGACAAGGCAGCTGAAAGATTAGTTCCCCACCACGCAGGTGGTATGATGGTGATGGCGATGGCAGTCAAGGCGCAGTCAGGTTACGAGTGCTAGCTTCGATCACGCAGAGACACGACGGGCGTTGCCAAGGGGAGCTTTGTATGGAGCAAGACGGGATGGTGCCATGACTGACAGGTGCTGGCGCCAGGCTACCGTCGACCTTTGGAAGGTCGATAGAAGCAGTGGTTTCCGTGGCGCGTGGTAAGATAACACGATACTGACCTCATCAGTCATGCTGCGCTGATCACTGCCGTTGATCTCCCTGCAGCTCAGGAACACGGCAAGCAAAGCAGGGACAATCCAGCAGCGCGGTCAGTCGTACGCCGGATGAGGCAGCACTTCCGTTATGAAGGCACAAGTGCGGGAGGAGCCGACACAGGTGGTTGGGACGAGACTGCCATTGGGAGTGATTAGTGAGAAACATGTCGTCAACACGATCACCATGGGCGCGCGAGCTTGGGAGGTGAGCAGGTGGTGGATCAGCCGGAAGCGTCGGCTGCCGATGGGGTTGAAGCCCAAGGGCAGTCGCCAGCCGCGCTGTTTCTCACCTTCTGGATGCGCACTGGGGATTTGCCGAGGCTGGCCGAGCAGAACGGCAGCAGGCAGGAGGCCACGAACTGTATACCCCGGCGGCGTGATGGAATGACACGAAGCTGCAGACACTAGTCAAACACACGGGTGCCCTGGTGCTGTGGTGTGAACGGTGCACCCCACACAAGTGTCCCCTGTATGTCGCGGATAATCTGCGGGAAATTGAGGGCTTACAGAGCAATTGCTAAGACGGCGGGCATGGCCGGGGGCAGCGGCGGTGGTGGAGGTGGTGGTGAGGGTGAAGGTGCAGGCGGGTGACATGTTCCGAGTGTCTGGCTGGCTAGCACATGCTAGATGACGAACACCGAGGAGGGGCTGCTGGTGGCCCGGGCGCGCCTTCCTCGCAGATTTGCTGGAGAGGCAGGAGCCCACGACGGCTCCTTCCCTCCGCCACCATCACACCACGACGCCGCGACCCCTGCCAACCGCCGCCATGGAGCTCGACAAGGACAACGCCAACCCGACCATCCTGAATCCCTCGGATCTGCCCTCCCGCCGCAGCGACAGCACGGCAAAGAGGCGCGATGACGGCGGGACCGGCCTGTTCGACAACCTGATACCGCGCTACAACTACCTCAGCGACCCCTTCGACGACAGCGTCTCAGCCGGCGATTCAGACAGCGACGACGCACGTGAGGACATTGACGAGCAGGAAATCTACGGTAGGCGCGCCCGCGGGCCCTCGATGGCGTTAACGTTTGGCTGACCCCGCGCATGACAGACCTCATTTCCACCATCTGCGACCCTGAACACCCGCTGTCCCTCGGCTCGCTGTCCGTCGTCAACCTGCCAGACATCCACATTCTGCCCCCCTCCTCACCGCTCTCGAGCATCAGCACCGTCGTCGTCGAGATCACGCCGACCATCACCCACTGCTCGCTGGCCACCGTCATCGGCCTGGGCGTGCGCGTCCGTCTCGAACAGGCACTACCTCCGCGCTTCCGCGTCGATGTCCGCATCAAGAAGGGCACCCACAGCACCGACGAGCAGGTCAACAAGCAGCTGGGCGACAAGGAGCGCGTCGCCGCTGCCCTCGAGAACGGCACCCTGATGGGCGTGCTGAAGAAGATGCTTTCGACTTGCGAGTAGATTCCCCGCCATGATTTGTCTGGACGAAAGCCATATCACGATATCGGCTCTTCTTTCATCGGCGTCACCAAGACATCATCTCCGCCACACCCGCACACCGTGCACCATACACCGTACACCGTATTCCTACGAACATGGCATCATCCCTCCGACAGGCACCGGGATGAGTAGTCGCCCAAGGAGGAAAGCCTCGGCTGTTCACAATATTGATGTTGTCCGGCAATATGCAAACCGCACATGCATGCGGCGTGTACCCCATCCCTGCGTCGATCATTAGCGTCGTGTTGGATATAGCATGTTCCTGCAGGCTAATGTCGTACACAAAGTCAATTCCGACCTCACCACAGGTGCATCGCTGGTGGAGGGCGTGATTGCGCTGTCCGTCCAGGCGAAAACAAGTCTCGATGGCCAAGATGCCCGAATGGGTACGCAGGATGATGTGCCTTCACAGTAACATCCGGTGATTTAGCCGCGAGCACATTCCTCAGCCTTGGAGGTTATGAGGCGAGTAGGATTATGAGCAGACACAGATGTTTAGAAGTCTCATGAACAGTCGGAGATTGCACATGCAATTCTTGAGATGACGTGGCTCATGATACCACACATGTCTCTGGTCCTCAAGTGATACATTCAGGCGCAGATAGCAATCGATGCAGCATACGTAAAGCGTCTACAGATTTAAATTGGCATAGAAATTGCTCCATCAATAACGTGATGTCTCTGCGCCCTTTCCCACCTCAAACCACTTTTCCCAACTGCTCGCCCTCCTTCCTAGTCTTCCAATATTCCAGTCCTATCCGCAAAGTCCTGCAGCATCTTCATTTTCTCTCTCATCACCAAAATCTTCGCCTCGTTGTCCAAGTCATCAAATCCGTCGCATAATTCCTCCATTGCAATATCCAATGCGATCTTCTGCGCTTTGTAACGTCTGTTCTTTGCCCTCAGCTCCTCTGTTTGTCTTTGCAACTCTACGAGTTGTGCGTATTCGTAGAGTACATGGAGAAGTAGTACCGCTGGACTCGCGAGAAGAGTGAGGATGCGTGGAACTTTCGCGATGCCGCTGTAATTGAGGGCCGAGATGGCGATGGAGGCCGTGAGAGTAAGAGAGTATTTTGAGACCGTGATTGGCATGTGAAGTTCCATGATGGTAGCTATTGGGCGGCTGGCACGAATCTTTGAGTAGAGATGGGATGGTGTGAGTCTTGTCCTGACCAGGTACGAAGAAGTAGATGACGACTTTGTTAGTGGGCAGGCGCAGTGTGTACGCACTTGCCGCTGCCCTCACTTCAGCTCAGCAAAATAGGATTTACTGGCAACCGCTGTATGCCCCATAGTACCGCTTTGGTGTAATCACAACCGATAATTTCACAGTGTAGTCTCCCTATACAACCACCCTAAAAAACAGCTTTCTTACACGCGACTCCTTTGCAAACCCAAAAAACTCAACATGCTCGTACCAGCTTTAACTGAGATTCTCTACTGGTTCATCCATGCTATAATATCGGTGAACTTCTGGTTCATCGTATGGCAGATGCACCAGGGTCACAAACGTCTCCATCCTCTTTTTTGCGGCAGCCCTGGAGGCCTCGAGGCAAACGGTAACCGCGCGTCTACTCCATCCAGCGACGCCATAATTCATATATGGCGCTTAGCGGAAAGCTGGAAGGCTTGGAAAAGTGTGGGTGAGAAGTAACAGGTGGAACAGATGCAATGAATGCGAATAGATTATTTGAAAAGTACCTAGGTAACCTGCCTAATTGCAAAAGTGTGAAGCAAACTGTGAGACAATATAGCAACGTGTGAAAATTACATGAGCGTTTGTAGTTCCTTAGATACCAAAGTAGTCGATACTAAGAAGTGAATGAACCAGAAGCCAAACACTTCCGCCGTTAGCTCCGCCCAATCCAATTTCTACCAACCCGCAAGACTAACGCAGTGACCTTTGAGCCTATGACCCTTCTCATACGCCAACTCTCGATTCAGGTGCCTTGTTGCTGCGCATCAACACCTCACTTCTCTCCACCATGTCGCAACCCAAGCTATCCGCATGGCTCGTACTCCCATGCATGATCCTCTCCCTCCTCATCACCCGCTTCCTTACAGCGCTCTTCACATCACACAACGAGCGCGGCCTGAGCATAGTCGCCAAAGCAGCACTCATCTTCGTCGCAACACTCGTCCTCACCACAACAGCAGCGACGTCACTGTTCCAATCTCTAGAGACCACGCAGCCACATACCAGAAACGTTCTGCGGAAGAGACGCAACGTCTCGCCCTTGCGCGAAGAGCGCATTCAGGCGTGGCGCGTCAACACTGCGCCGACTCTCCACTGGAGCTCTTCCTCGTCTGATGAGGATGTGAAGGCAGTGAAGCAGAAGCTTGTTAAAGAGAAGAAGGAGAGGCGAGATGAGAAGTCGTTGAGGAAGCGGTTGATGCGGAAGTTCAAACCAAGGCGGAGTGAAATGCTTGGGGGTAGGAAAGAGACTATTGAGGTTGTTGTGAGGGAAGATCCTTGGGCCTAGATACCGAGGGATGGAAAAGGCACGATTGATCTTCTGAGTGTGTACAATAATGCAGGGTTGTAGGCGATATTTGGGTGTGACACCTATCACTGGCGACTTGCCCCGTCTGCTTCTTCCCATCTCATCGAAATTCCCATTTGGTAGACACCGGATGTACAAAAAGGTAGCGAGCAGAAAGTTTTGAACACTCGAGCAACGTACATCCAAGCACAACTTCAACTCCCGTCAGTCGAATTCCAACGCATGACACAACCAGCTCAACACTCACTTCTTCACGCTCGTGCCTATCATCTCCAACACCAACCAATACCCTCCCATCCCCAACACTCCCCTCACCACCCCCTCAATATCTCACCACAACCCTCGACATAGCCCTAACCTCCGCCTCCGCCTCCAGAATCTCCAGTATCTCCCTCTCAAGCCCAGCATTCACCGCAACACCCTCAGAAGGATACGCATCACCAAACGCCGAATTTGCCGTCGTCGTAACCCCACTTCTGTCGTATAGTGGAACACCCCGCTCCCAGATAGATATAGCTGCCTTCTTGCCGTCCGTGTTGCTCTCTTCGTCGGTGTGCGCGCCCTTGCGGAACAGCCGGGGCAGGCTGATTGGTTTGGTGCGGAAATAGATGATGGCGCTGATGATGTAGATGGTGATTCCGATGGTGCCGACTACGCATATGAGGCCGATGGCTGCTGGGGTGAGGGTTTCGGAGGTCAAGGCTGAGAGTGTGGAGCGGGTGTGCAGGGAAGGCGCTGGGGTGGCCGTGGGAGTGGAAGATGGGTAGGAGATGGGCGCCATGATTGTTGAGGGGGTCGTCGCTTTTGCGAGTATACTCGTTGCGTGGTGGGTTGTTTCGAAGGGACTGATTTGGAGAACTTTTGACAATGTGTGCGTGGACTCGTCGCTTTTGCGAGTATATTCGTTGCGTGGATTGTGGTTTCGAAGGGACTGATTTGAAAACTTTTGAAAGTGTGTGCGTGGACGTTGTTAACCGGCGGAAGAGCGTTTGCGGTGTTGGTGTTGTTTGGGGTTAGACGGAGTCATATAGATGCGCAATTTGCCAGTGGAGAGGACTGTGGGTGAGCGTAATTTCTACGCGACATGTTTCGTTTGCTACGAAAAAAGGTGAAAGGGAAGGGGGACACGAGCGGCCTCGTCTCTTGGGGTCGGATAATTGCGATCTCTCTCATTTGAGGAAAACCTTTGTGTATGGGATGGTGATGTATTGCGGGGGTCGTGAGTGGCTCGTTGTCGCCCTGCGTTATCACGGTACCAGTGGATGGAGTGGATGGCAACCAAGATATCGAATCGCACACACCGCAGTGATTCGTCACTTGGAGATAGGGCTGTACGACAGAAAACGCACAGGGTAAGCGACGTGGATGACAAGAGAGAAGGCCCGTCCGTGATGTCAAAAGTTTGATGCCATAGTTGTGGGTAGGCAAAAAGAAGGAGGGATGCACGTATGTGGAAAAGCAAGTTGACGTCGATGGCCATGTCAAATATGAGCCTGAAGGGGCAATCTCCATGTCCCGTAAGCCAGGGAAGAATTGAAGCAGGGCGTGTAAATGGTTCGAATCGGACAGAGTAGAAAAGTAGAACAAGAACAAAGATGGGCGAGGATATCACCTCGTACTCATCAAAGGGTATATTCACATCACCAGCTCTGCAAGCGCTCTTCGTGCTTGCGCAACCTCTGCGCTTACTCCCGGTCCAGAATTCCAGCTCTTGCGCCTGGCCACGCTCTTATATACCGTGGGTTGTCATGGCACATTGCGTCCGCCCACGCGCGTCTTGCCCTCCTCATGTTGCCGCACGAACGGTCGCATCATCACGCGTTATCCTAGCACCTGATGTCCTTCCTTTATCATTTCGCCTTGTTCTTCGCCGCCTCAGCCTCTCTCCTTGTCGCGTCTTCGAGTAGTGCCGTGTCGACAGCGCCGGAAGGAAGGTGTACGTAGCGAACGACAGAACCGCGGATGAACATGTCTTTTGTCGAGCACTATTGTAAAGTTAGCATCTGTTCCTCCCGAAATCTCACATGGCCATCTCTCTGGTACGCTGTCTGGTCCGTACGTAGAAGAGAGTCGCGATGCACGAACTTACCAAATGCGGCCACCTCAGCTCATCCACGGCCTCTGCATTGTCCAGCTTGATGTTCAGGTACTGGTCCACGCTCTTGAGTGTTCCGCGGATCTGGACTTCGTTCTTGAGTTCGACGGTGATTTCGTGCTCGACGAGCGTTTTGAAGAAGCTATTGCGCTGTCAGTTGCTGTTGCGTCATTATCGACGCGGACCGGGGACTAACCTGAAGAAGAGCATTGTGTGTATGTGAGAAAGAAGATTGGGGTAGAGACGTCGGAGATACAGCTAAGCGCAAGTTGAGTCGAGTGTTCGCGACTTGCGGTGCATATGGCACAGTGACGAGGTTATGCGCTGCGCATGGACCGCGTGGGGTTCGCGCCGCTGCGAGCGAGGCTGATCTGCCGCCTCGCCATGTCTCTCACTCCGGCATCACCATCACATTGATAGGCAGACACCCAGATAACCAAATGTGACGACTGTGATAGACACTGTCTTCAATTCATCTACAAAAGAAATTCGCTATTGTGGTATCAACCTAGTCCAGTCCAGTCCAGCCTGTCCAACACCGTCTACCCAAAACCATCGTAACTGTATCACATCATGTTCAATCCCGTTCCCATTACTTCCTCGCCCAGCCGGACAAAGTCCTCCATCCAGCGTGGCCTGTCGCGCCCTCCTCTAGTACGTTGACGACTCCCTCCAATAGCTTCTCCTCGTCCTTGCCCATCTCCATTTGCAACCTGAGCAGCCACCTCTCCCATGCCCAACTTCCGACTACACCTGTCAACATCGCCGCGTCCATGGTGGTACCAAAGACTGGCGCGTCCTCGAGCTCAATCTCGCCGTCTTCTGTGATGCGACGCTCTTGGTGCTTTGGCTCGGCGCCAACCGCAAGTGTGTCCTTCCAGTTCGCTGCCGTCTTTCCCATGGGAAGAAGCATCCACGCCCTTTGAACGTCTTTGAAGCCCGCCTTGGAGACGCGCGGGAGGAATGTCTTGGTAGGCTGCGCATCGTAGCCGCGCGTCTTGAGGTTGAAGCCGAACTCGACACCCATGGCCTGAGCGTTGCGGCCAGCATGGACAACATCGGCATCCATGACGCTGAAGTCAAGAATACCATCGGGCTTGAGGCAGCGGTAGCACTCCTTCAAGCACAGGTCGTACTCGTCTGATGACTTGCCGACAGGCTTGCTTGTCTTGAGGAGCTCGTAAAGTGTGCGTGCCGAAACGACATCAAAGTGACCAGATGGGAAGGGAAGAGTCCACAGGTTGGGAACGGTAAGGTGCTTGTGGTTGTCGGGGCCCTTGACGTTAGATGACATATTGTTACCCGCAGTGTAGACAGTAGTCACTGTAGCGTACGGGTAGTCATAGGCAACGTCCCACGCCCAATCGTTGGTAGCGACACCACCAACGTCGAGGATGCGTGGAGCACTAGCGCGTGTGATGCATCGCGCGGCAGGTTTGCTGAGAAGCTTGCCACCGTTGAGTTGCTTCTGAGCTTGCAAGACCCAGTGAATGGGCAGCATCTGGTCGAGCGCTTGACGCTCCGTCTGTGCGCGCGCAATCCTCTCCTTTAGCACAGTTGGGTCATTGACAAAGAACTCAGAAACAGGTCGCGGTGGCGCTGGGCGCTCTGGCTGGCAAAGCTCGAACTTTCCCAGGAGCTGATCGCGATGTGCGAGAGGATTGCAGCGTCGCTGTACGTGCATAGCCTCAGCGCGAGTCTGACGGTGGATGAACGTATCCTTCTTTTGGCACCGAGAGTGAAGGTACTCAAGGCCTTGGACGTAGGTGGTGATGGGCTCATCCGCCGACTCCTTGACTGGAGACTTGGCCGGCTCATCCGCGAACTTGACCGACTTCTTGACCACAGTCTTCTCGATCGAGTTGCCGCGGCTGTGGGTTCCGTTGGAGAGGCTGGGAGAGGTAATGTCGCTCATGTCACGAAGAGCGGCCTGTAGCTCATCTTGTTCCTCCAACCATCGGCCGGTCATCTCGAGGTTAGCAGTAGACACCTTTTGAAGTCCAGCGTTGTAGTTCTCGTCATACTGAAAGATGGTCTTGCTAGGATTGATCTCCTTGATCTCCACGTTCTCATCGGTTGGGCTGCTAAGGAGGACTGGGCGCGATGTCGCCAGAGGCTCATCGTGTCCATCGAGAGTGGATCCGGCAAGAGTCGAGTTTCGTACAGGGAGAACTGGCACAGCTGGTACAGCTGGAACGGGATGTGGGGAAGTGTTCCTTCGGTTCTCCTTCTGCCATGGAAGGTTGTAAAACCTCTCAGCAGTTGAAGTGTTTGGGATTGACTCATCGCGCTTGGGGATACTCCAGGTGTGACGAGCAGTCGACTGAAGCGACGAGAAGAAACCACCGGGAGAAGGGACAGAGAGAGCGGAAATCGGTGTGCTACCAGAGGAACCGTTTCCGAAGACTGTTGAAGGGATGCTTAAGCCGAGACTTGGTCGGGAGACTTCTTGCATCTCGCCTCTAGCCTCAACCACTTGAAACTCCTGTTGCTCTGGTTCCTCGTACTGCTCAGCAGATGGTGAGTTTCCGAGATGCTGAAGAGTCTCCATAGCTTGTAGGTCCAATTGCACAGGTCCCCACGAGTCAACGCTGGACATGGATCCGCGTCTACGTTGCGAGACTGGGGTGGCAGGGCAACTGAGCTTGTCCATCTCTTCTGATGTGAGGCTGCCGTCCAGGGAAGGGGCTGCTGAGTGCTCAGGCACATGCAGGTTGTGAGAGTCGATCATCTCAAGGAAGCGACGCGATGGGGTCAGTAGCAACGATGGAGTAACGGGCATCGCCGAGTTTGCACTCTTCAACTTCTCAATGGTTGGCCATGCGGAAGGCGAAGGGATGACGATGGATGGGTAGCGTCTCTGTCTAGGCTGGGTCGCAAGCTTCTTGACTGATGCGGATGCATGGAGAGGTACCTCAGCCTCATCGTCGGTGATGTCGTAGAGAGAGTCGAAGTCGCTGTCAGCCCGACTCGCCCGGTTTGCTGGGGGATATGTAGCCGAGTGAACAGGAAAGCGCGGCGATGGCTGCGGGGTCATATCGAATAAGCGTGCCTTGGGGGTAGGGAAGTCGTCGTCAATACTGGCTGGTGACGCGGGACTGGGTAGGTATATCGACGAGGTCGAATATCTTGCGCCGAAGTAGTAGGTGGGAATTGAGGACTCGTCGTCGGTGGCATTAAGTGCCTGTCTCTGATCCAGCGGAGACATGGCTTGATGAGAGTTGGCCATGGGGCCGAAGGTCGCAGGATGGTATACTGCAGGCTCCAGCATCTCAGGCATGTTGTATATTGCGGTGACGTGAGCACCGCCTTGTGCTAATATTACTAAAGATACCTATGAAAATCCGAGTAGGCGGGAGTGCGGCGGGGGTGGTAGGGGTCCAAATACAGAAGTACAGGGGACCAAATAGAGGCGATATTAAGATGAGCTATAGCCCAAAACTGCGCTGGTCAACAGCTTACTGGTAAAAATGGAATTGCTTCGATCAACGAAGACTTGACGGAAGAAGGGGCTCGGAAGAGGACTAGAAGTGAATGGCAAAAGAGAGTCGATGCGGCGCGAGCGCGATGGTCAGAGGATATATCGCGCGTAGACGCCTACTCGTCGAGTGACTGTGGGCTAGTGTTACTGTGGCATTCGTCCGAGCTACACTGCCAGTTGGCCGTCCACTCGCATAGAGGGCCGAGTCTGGGTGGAGAGGCAGTAGCGGCTCAAGGTCGGCCACGACATGGCAAAGAGGGTGAAGACGGCATGATTGGCCAGAGTAAGTTTATGGTGAGCAAGGTCAATACCATGCGCTAGAAACTTTGGGCTAGAGGAGCGTTGCGCTGCACGGCGTGGTTGGGTGTTTGGTTGTAAGCGCCGGGCTGTGCTATTTGCAGCGCTCGCGTTCTGCACGCGTGTCCAATGACGAGACGCAGCGGCGTTGGACAGCATACTCGCCCAATAGTGCCTCGTCGAAATCGATTCTTGCTGCGGGGCTGGATATTGTCTCACGGCCTCGAGTTGGACGCGAGGCGGTGGTTGTGGCTGTCCCCAAGGCTGTCATGTAGTCATCCCGTGCCATGTGAGAGGGAAAGACCAGGTGCCGAGACCCGTCGCAGCCATCTCGGCAGTACAAACACGCGACCAGCCACGCGGTTGCCGATCACCAAGATATAACAATAGAGAAGGTTTCAGTCGATTTAGAGCATTGACGGCCCCGTTCAGCAAACATAGTTGATTCGAAACGTGAGGTGGTGAGCTGCGCGGTCTGCATGGTCTGCATGAACAAGAACAGAGGTGAGGCGTGCCAAGGCCTGCAGCGGGGCATGGATGGAGGGGCAGGCGTGACGCTGATGCCGTCAACACCAAAAAGCTATCGTGAGCTCCGTCACACTAGCAATTTCCACAATCTCCCCATATCTCCCATTGGCGCTTTCTCAAATCACCTATACACACCGAAACTGCACTAGAACCGCCCGTCATGTCACCGCCTGCCATCATCGCGCCGTCGATTCTGTCGGCAGACTTCGGAGCGCTGGGCAAGGCCTGTTCAGACACAATCTCCCAGGGTGCCGACTGGCTCCATGTACGCGATGCTGAGTTTCGGGCTGGAGGGCACGCGACTGACACGTGCAGGTCGACATCATGGACGGCCACTTCGTGCCCAACATGACCTTTGGCGCGCCCGTTGTCACCAAGATCCGCTCACACGTCGACCGACCGACCACCGCACACGGCAAGGGAACATTCGACTGTCACATGATGATCGCCGAGCCCAAGCGATGGGTGCGCGACTTCAAGAAGGCTGGCTGCGACCTGTACTGCTTCCACTACGAAGCCGCCGTCTCGTCAACCGCGGCAGACTCACCCAGTGGGAAGTCGGACCAGAAGACATCTCCAAAAGAGCTGGTCAAGTTCATACATGGCGAGGGTATGCAGGCTGGTATCGCAATCAAGCCGAGCACACCAGTCGATGTGCTGTGGGAGATACTGGAGAACCCAAACAAGGACGAGGTTCCGGATGTGAGTTCATCACCCCTGCACTGCCATGCTTTCCATCATCACAATCGATATCACGAAAGGGCCGCACGCGCTATATGGTGGTTAGAGAGGCCTCGGAAGTGGTCGAGCAAAGCGAGGCTGGGTAGGGCTGACCCTGTTGGGGCGTGGGCGGCACGCGCTGGCGCTTAGGCATACCAGCCTGCGTAAGCCCACTGTCAATCAGTCTTGACCTGTGCGTTCTTTCGAGAAGCCTGCCGCATGCTGCCCAACCGACTGTCCATTCATTGGCCACCTGTCAATTCAGTAATCCCCAAAGTTGACATCGGTACCTACCCGCCCACGCCGCTGGCTGCTCCCGCAGGATCAATAACCTCAACTCAAGGCCTGCGTTAGGCCACGTCACGTTCGGTAGAGATCTCATGCTAACATCCACAGATGATATTGATCATGACTGTAGAGCCCGGCTTCGGTGGCCAGTCGTTCATGGCGTCCGAGCTTCCCAAAGTCACCGCGCTTCGACAAAAGTACCCAGAGCTACAGATCGAGGTCGACGGAGGTCTGAGCGAGAAGACCATTGACCAAGCTGCTGATGCTGGCGCTAATGTCATCGTTGCTGGCAGTGCTGTTTTCGGCGCTTCGGACCCTGGAGACGTTATCAAGAAGCTCAGGGAAGCGGTCGATAGCAGGAGAGGAAAACTATAGGAAGGATAACGATACCGACCGACGAATTATGACAATGAATGTAGATGAGCGTATGTACAAATAGAAATGCGAGGAAGCTTACCATGTAGATGCTGACATGCGTCGATGCAATGTTACACAACCTGCCGGCTAAATTCTAAGCCCATGGCTACCTGTTGGCCTTCATAGCCGCAAAGATAGCAGATCCGGCAGATGTTATCGACAGGGCTGGTATTCTTTCCGCATGCTATCACAAAGAGGGCCGTGGAGGCTACATCACTTTCGGAACCCAGCTTATCACTTGCAATGGGAGATTGTGGGGACTACGTTTCTCTTGGAACCTAGCAAATGCATCGCAAAAGGTTATCTTGGCTACTACATATCTTCTGGCCCAAGTCGAGTGTCATACAAAACCGTACCTTGGTATCTACATCGACGCCAAATTACTCCTCACATTCATCGGCTGGGTCGTTGTCCTCCTCTGGCTCGTACTCAGATCCGGACCAGTCTGCATCCGTTTCTACATCAGATGCTTCAATCTGATTGTAGGTGCGTGTACGTCCGGGTAGCTTCGGGACGGTTGCCCTGCCCCCATCCCGCCCCCGCCCAGCATGCACTCTGAACTCCCGCTGGCGATTGAGGCGCTCCCTCCTTGTCGTGGCGATGGTCTCAGCGTGAAGTGCACTGGGTGCTAGGCCATATGTCTCTTCCCCTGAGTCCGTAAGCATCTCCAGATCTGAGGAGGCGAAGTGTGCCATACCTGGCTCACTGTCATGAAGAAGGCCAGCAAGGGTCTCCTGATATCTCTCTTCATCGAATTCCCATTCGTCCTCCTCGTTTTCGTCATCGGCATCGTCAAACTCCGACTCGTCGCTGACGTATACATGTGTATCTTCCTGGTGGAAAAGCTCTTGGCGGCATAGTGGACATCGATTGTTGTTGGGCATTTCAGCCTCGACTTGCTTGACGATGCAGTGGTCTCCGAAGATGTGGCCACACGGAAGTTGCACAGGGACGTGCCTAATAGAGAGCATCTAAGTTAGTGTGCCGTTATAGTAGGGACCATCAAGTACTACTTACTCGGTACTGTAGTCGTCCAGACAGATACCACATCTGAGTGGCTCTAGCCCCTGAACAAACTGGTCTTTGGTCAGCATTCTTGCTGTAGTATCGCGCTGAAATGGATGCAGATGTAGACAGAGGTTCGACGGTGAGGTAGAGTCTAAGGAAAAGGTCTTGTGCAGTTGAAAGAAGGAGTATCATAGTATACGCGGAGCCGGCATGAGATCGCATCACTTTCATCACTCGAATATCCAATCTTGAATTCACTTCACCGTTCACCCTCTCCGCGATTCGAATATTGCTGGAGAAATTCGACATATACTCCACTGCTGAGTTTCCGGTTTCAATCCAGCTGTATTTCCGGGATCGATCATCTCTTACTGCTTGCGATGTCTCCTCGATGATAGACTCTTAAGCAGGCCCAAATTGTAGAATAGGGTTGAATGCATATCCTCATGATGTTTTCACTTGGTTCATGTATGAGCGCAGCTGTGACGATGTGACGTCGGCGGGTATGTACATAGTGGCCTATGCAGCGAAGACCACAAAGATGACGAAGACCATGAAGGCTGGGCTCTTCGAGGTGGCAACGTGATCTTCATTGCAGAATAAAGAATTTAATGCGTGTTGCGAAGTGAAATAAAAACAGACATATGACAAGAGTAGTGGATTCCTGTGGGCCATGGCTAGCGCGTACCCATGCGCCGGAACCCCGAACATTTTCTTGAGCTTCTCCACAACAACACCACGCGCCCACCAAATCGACTCACGCGGGTCGCATGAGCTCTGATATGGCGAAACGAAAGCGCGGCGCTCGCGACGAGCCACCTCCTGCCGATATGGGACTCGGTGCGACACTGGCGCACATGCGCGGCGAAGCGCAATCCGACAATGCGGCAACCACCACGGCTAACGGAGACGAAGAGGGCTGGACAGTAGTCAGCGGCTCGAAAAGGAGACGGAAGGAACGCGGATCGCACTCTGAGCACAACGGGCGCCGCGCCTCAAACTCGCCTTCGCCAGCTCGCAGTCCTGGCCAAATGCGCGACACAGATGGGCAGGGCAAGCGCAAGGCACGATCGCCACCGCCGCAGCAAGATGCAACTCCCGACAACCCATTCGCGGGAAAAGACGCCCAACTAGGAAACCGCCTTTCCTCCACCGACAACCCATTCGTCACATACAAAGCTGGCTCTGAGCAGTCAAGCGAGAACATGACCAGAGAGGAGCGCAGGAAAGAGCGCAAGCTGCAGAGGAGCTACCCAGCCATTGAGCATTCACATCATGCCCGCCTGAACTCGCACGTGAAGATCACAGACCTCCAGTCACTGGTGCTGTACTTGCTTGCTGACGGTAATGCGCCGCAGTGGGTTTCTGTACGCAGTCGTGCCAATATTCAACAGGTCGTCATGGTTATGGTTCCGGGATTGGACCTGGGTATGTTCAACGGCGATGTTGCTTTAGACGCCCCGTCTCAGTCCGAGCCTTCTGTTGGAGCAGAGACAACGGAAGCGCAGACTGATGCTGCCATGACAGCTGCAAAGGCTGTAAAGGATGCAAGGGATGCAAAGCCCAAGCGGCTCAACATTTCGCGTGATGACTTCTATCCGGCTAGTCTCAAGGCCGAAAAACTACCTGCATCGCTGAAACCTCTTGCTGATATCTTTGAGCATGTCTGGCCCATCAAGGCTATAGGCGAACATCGCAACAACCAATACATGAGAGTGCATTCGCCCATACATACGATGCTAACCTCACAAATACCCAAGACGCAAGAAGAGAAGCAGATGAAGAAGACGGGGAACCACAAAGGCCCCTTGCCGCAGAACTCGAAGAACTGGGAAAACAAGCGCACGCGCATTACCGAATACATCGCCAGTCTAATGGAACAGCAAGAGAACGAATACGTGCTACATCCAGCAATGTTCACCACTTCGGAATCCAAGGAGGCCAATAACGAGAGAAGGAAGCTTGCTCATCAGAGTGCTGATGACGGTTGGGTCGACACCAATGTCGCTACCTTGGAAGATGCAGAAGTACCCGAGATGGAGATTGAACAAGGTAGTCTGACTGCTGGAAGACACATTATATCCGTCGACTGTGAGATGTGCAAAGCTGAGAATGACCAGCTTGTACTCACTCGCATCAGTCTATTGAACTGGGACGGCACTACGGCCCTCGACAAGCTTGTCAAGCCGGATGTCGCCATCAAGGACTACCTGACCCAATGGTCCGGTATTACAGCGGCCATGCTCCAAGACGTCACAACTAGTCTAGCGGACATACAGAAGGAGCTATTGGAACTCATCACACCGCGTACAATCCTTGTGGGACACTCGCTAAACTCTGATCTCAACGCACTCAAGTTGACCCACCCCTTCATCATCGACACGGGTATCCTCTACCCACACCCCCGTGGGCCACCATACAAGCAGTCGCTGAAGTGGCTTGCGCAGAAATATCTCAAGCGCGAAGTGCAAAAGGGCTCAGCAGGTCACGACAGTGTGGAAGATGCTCGGACATGTCTCGATCTGGTCAAACAAAAGTGTGAAAAGGGCCCGCGCTGGGGATCGGGCGACACCAACGCGGAGTCTATTTTCAAGAGAATGGATCGTTCTGTACGACCAAAATCAAACGACGTGCATCGTGCCGGAGCTGTCATCGACTGGGGCGACCCGAACAGAGGTCATGGTGGCCAAGCCCGAGTTTCCATAGGCTGCAAGACCGATGAGGAAGTAGTGGAAGCTATTGAGCGTACAGTAAAGGGTCAAGCCGAAGGCAAGGATGGCACTACTGACAAGATCGACTTTGTCTGGGGACGTTTGCGCGAGTTGGAGCTTGCAAGAGGCTGGTGGGACGACGCCAAGACGGCCGACGTCGAGCTCATTCGACAGAATGCCCTGCAACGACTGGGCCTTCTGAAGGATGGCGAGGATACAGATGTTGAGGTTCACGGACCTGAGCTCGGCGATGCCGTCTCCAAGACCATTGAACGTATCGGGCAGATATACGACGCTTTGCCACGCTGCACGGCCTTTATTGTGTACAGTGGGACAGGCGACCCTCGAGAAATACGTCGCTTGCAAGCAATGCAACAGCAGTATCGCCGTGAATACGCTACCAAGAATTGGGACAACCTCAGCGTCAAATGGACGGATACGGAAGTGCAGGCTCTTTCGAAAGCCTGTCAAGAAGCTCGCAACGGCGTTGGCTTTATTGTTGTCAAGTAAAGTACGAGTATTCGTACCTCGCGCGTGCTACGTGCAACGCAACGTGTCGTAGTACATGGTGTCCGAGCGCATATCGCTTGACTGGCACTCTCGGTCGTGGCGTATGAACGGATAATCGGGATGCATAGGCTGAGAGGCTGAATGCTTTCTAGAACATGCGTTGTGTTTTGCAATTATCGGTAGAAGGGATTAAACGCGAATAACTATCGTGCCAAGGGCACAAGTACTGCATGACATCAATCAACATCCCTGTCCACTTTCCCCTTACTTGGAGTTAAATTAGCGCAAAGCTTTTCGCCGCCTCACAGTGGGCGAAGATTGCGCAAATTCAACTCTGTAAAACCATAATCCCATCTTTGCCTGTGTGAGATCGCTGCCACGGTACAGCAGTGCCCTCAGCGGCGATCATTTCGTCATGATGGGAGGCGGGTACCAGTTGGGACAATGCTGCTGACGACGACATGGAAAATGGCATGGATAAAAGCCAGAAACGAGTAGTCTGGCCCAGATATAGCTGCAAATGTAAATTCGGACATATAGCTATCATCCTGCATCGACATGTTATGCTAATTGGCCCATGTCGCGGATCAAACTTGGCAACCTGTAATCGTCGCAATTTGATGGTAATAAAGATAGCCGGCGCTTGGTCCCGGGATGAGTAAACTGCCCCATAACGATAGTGACTACCGATCAGGTGTTGGGATGCTGTGACACGAGTTCCTACCTGTGCACGTCGACACATGCGTACCTCGGACGGTAGGGAACTGCGCGCATTCGATAGACGGACGAAATTGCAGCTGAAGAGATCTGGCTGTTGCGCGAGATGGAACAGCTAGCGTGTTGCGCTTGCGACACGAGACGGCTTCAGGGCTTTTTCGCAATAGAGCGCATCTAAATTGATAGCGAGGCGCGCTAACCCCACTCGGACTCATGCATGGCTAATCATGGAATAACTCCTGCTAATTATTTCACTTGCCCTTTCCCTCCTCTGAATTAGCTCTCGTCTTTCAGGGTTCCTTCCAGTCTCCGCCGCAACCGCCTATTCTTGTTGGGGCCTACCATTTTTTCCTCTTCGCTTCCAATCTCACTGCGCTTGCTGAAACGCTATCCTGGACTGAGACGCGTCGTCGCGTACCCGAGACCGGTAGTTCAGCTTGCTTAGGCCCACCCTCTTTCATCCAACTTTTATTTGTTGCTATCTAGCACTTTTCGTGCAGCCTCTCCGCTCACTTGCAGCTATCGCCTAGGCACTATTGTGTCAATGGGCTGCATCAATGGCGGGCTCCAGGCGATCCGGAATTGGCGAGGTGGAGTCAGACATGAATACACATGAACTTCAGCCATCACCACCAGAGGTTGTGGAGAGTGCTGATGAGGCCTCTCCACCTTCCCCGCCCACCAACCGTGCAACTAAAGCATACTGCAAGAATTGTCAGAAGTGCATTGGAGATTTCTACAACTCCTGGTACAAGGTCACCGGCAGCTACTTCGTTCCCGCCATGCTCGGCTCTTACAGTTCTACCTTACAGCCCATGGGCAAACTAAAAGCGGCGTCAAAAGGCACCGAATTAGCAGGATGGTAAGCTGAACCCAGACATGACATTGGTCCCTTCTCCCTTTGCAATTGTTTGTCGCACCTTTCCCTCTTATAGCCTTGGCTGGCTATCAACAAACCCCAACACACGAGTTGGCGTATCCCGGCTGCCGATGGTTACATGGTATTTTAAGTTTCTTCCTCTAGACGCACCGACGCTAGCCTGCACCAAATCTTTCCACACTATAGATTAACATCTATTAGACGTGTACGCCCGCATTTTACGTCCCGCATTCCTTATTGCTATCCTTTCGTTCGCACAGTCATCTTG